GGCTTCTCTTTAACTTTCACCATAGTCATTAATCTCCTTTCAACTGAAGTGTATAGCTTATACACCATCTCTTTACTCAAGTTATACCATGACGTCATAAGAGCTTTACACTTGAGTATGAGATATATGAAACATCGTTCTTCAATATGGATCATATCATAAAGTCCACAGAATTAATGTTAGAGCTTGATGGACGCCAAATCGTCCCAAGATCGACGGAAATGTCCCTCGTACCAGTTCTGTGTCAAATTGGCCGTATGTGTGGGAGCTCCGTCTTGTGTGAAGACATAGCGACTTCTAAATGTGGTTGACAATCGGGGCAACAAAATATCTCTCCTACATTTGTTGGTAAACTCTTCTATTAACTTTCACGCCTTCAATGAACACCAATCGCGATTTCGAATTGATTCAGAATCAATAGCAGTCTAAACCATGTTCCAAGTTGATTTCTGTCACTTGAAATGTTTTCTGATACCTTCAAGAATGTTTCTTGGTGAAGTGGCGTAAACACGTTTTAGTAGTTGACCACAGCCTTCACAAATCTTCTCGTCCAACCAAACGACTATCTTGTCTCCGGCACGCTGCATCACCCCAAACATTTTTTCCTTCTGTCAGGTCGTTTTTGCTTGGAGGTACTTTAGAGCAGCTATCGTTGTTGAATCCTGTATGGTTTTAGACCTAAATCTTCTTTCCCGATCCTCCTTAGCGACCTATCCGAAATATCCAGCTCTTTTGCCATCTTCGTGGATTTCTCTTGAGCCTCTTCTTGGCGGTTTCAATGGCCCTCCTGGTACGGACTGAGCGATTTCTTCCTGGAATTGGATTTGGTGAGGTTGCTTGCTTCTCTTGAAACTTTTTCTTCAAATATTCAATTGTCTTATCACCTCACAATTCTTCATACCAGAATTTTTGTTTTGTGCTTCTATATTTGATTAAATCGTAAACAATAACACAAAAGAATGTTAGTAAGTCTTATGCAATATTTGAAACTATTTTTACGAAAAAGCCTGTTTCAATTTGTTTAGATAATAGGTAAATATTTACGCCGCACCCGGTAAAGTACGAAAAAATATTTGGCTAAAAAAATAGAAACAAATTATGAAAATCAGTAAATGCTTACCCATTTCCTGGAAAACGTTTTTTGCTTTTGGTGTTATTTTTGTATTGAAATCTTTCATGTCTGGAGCTGAATTAATGTATAAGCGGATCTTTCGGGAGAATCTGTTGTAGATAAAAAGAATCTCTTGGATGATGCTGAAAAATTGGCAATGAAAGGATTTTAAAGTTATTTGGGAGTTCTTTCACCAACTTTCGGTCATGAAAAGAACGGATCATTTTTCAAATGTGGGTGATATTGTGCAGCTAATAATTTCTTGTTTATCTGGAAATAACTTATTATTCAATTAAATACTTGCGTTATTGTACATTTGAGATGGCGAGAATTAATAATTTATTCGTCTAGTTTATTTGAAGTAGTTTCGTCTAAAGTCTTAAGATTTTTTGAAAACTAATATATATATATATATATATATATATATATAATATTAATATTAATGCTATGCCATATTTTCTTCAAGACGTAGACATCCAAAGCCCTCTCCAGACGCTTTTATGCTCATGACCATAACTTATTGGGAGAAATAGTGGAGTAATTTCCCATTGCCTTTTCCATGTTTGCGAATTCAAAGTGTCCTTCTCCTAGACTCTGTTACCATTCAAGGCTAGAGAGTTAAATCTTCTCTACTATTTACCTCGTAGCTGGTGACGAGGGGTAGAGATAGATTAATAGCTTTCCAAAGGACAATAGTGTGAAAGTGAAACGAACCGATGAGGCTTGAATTCGAACTTGGCTCGCTGATTTCACTTTCTGCCTTGGTAACTGTTACACTGATCCTATATTCTTTATTATACGAGAGAAAGTAAAAATTTATCTGCACTCTTGTCTAAAGATATATTATGGCGAAAGTTCGGATAATTTTTGACTTACCCGCGTTCATTATAACTCAATATATAATATATCGCTCAAGTAAAACTCACTTGTGTTTAAAAAAATTCTTATAGTTAATACTTTCTCGTAATTTCCTAATAATTCCAATGATGTATGACAATTTTCTTGTCACGAACAAATTTGTGGGTAATTTCGTGAATATTTTTCTGTTGCAAAATCAGATACATTTCTCATTTCGTATCATGTTTGGGTACGTATACAAATATTTATAAAACAGCATTATCTACATTATAATAATCTGATTTTATTTTGAGTGACTTTTACCATAACGCAATAAAAAAAGGCACATTGTAGCGCAATTTTTAGCACAATACCATAAAATGATCTAACTTAGGAAATAAAGGAATTTTAAGTCCATTTTTCAGTACTGCTTTCTGAGTAATTATAATCTATATAAATAAATGCGAATGTCAGTGTATCACACTTTTTCAAATTTACTCCTAGAGGCCGTAGCTCAAAATATCATAACCATTTTGGAATCAGGCTGACCCGTCAGCAAATTAAAAACATTCTGGGCTGTATCCAGAACCGCAATCCTGAAATTTTGGATACCCAAGTTTTCATTACTGCGAATGTTTTCGGCGAATTTTTGGTACGATAACAATTTTTATAACTTGGAAATAAATTTGGGAATAATTGAAATTAATTGCATAATTCAGAGAAAGTCAACCACAAAATAAAAATAATTGTTTGTATGGAATGTAAGCAAGTACGTACATCAAATTATCTTTTAAATTAAGTGGCAGCAGAAGAAGAACTTTTAAAAGGTAAGCTTAAATATTAATGCAATACTTAAATGCAGCGATCAATTTTGAGTTCTGTAGTTTATTGTTGCATATGCAGCAGCATGTCTCACAAAAAGAAATCTCTGCCAAAATAGGACCAGATTGTAATCAAAATAGCCAAGGCTGCAACCAGCCAAAGAAAGTCTCATGCAAATGAAAATCCAGATCAAACGGCAGCCAGGAGAGCTTCCAATGCTGAGAATATGCAAAGATTTAGGGACTTTCAAACACATGAACAAGCCGAATGTCCAATCAAGATCCCTCCGCAGGACCTAGTTTAATTGTTACCTGATAGGGCAGCTTTTAAGCTGGTTATCTATAAATTCCATGGATGAAAAGCAACTTTTACTTCTTCTTCAGAACTGTTACATTATGGAACGTACTCCCAGGATGATGCTTTCCTGATAGCTAAAATCTTAAATTCTTCAAGTCTAGGATCAACCATTCTCTATCCTAAATATTCTCATAATATGAACCCCCTTACCTCTTCCTTGTATCACTTACAACCTCCTCATTTAGTAACACTCTACCTTGAGTGGCTCTTGGTTAATACTGAAAGTAGCAGCTAAAATGTGGCATTTCAGTAAGCGAAATCTTTCTTCAATTTGAGAGGCTAAAAGTTAAATGTTTAAGTGTAAAAAACATTAAAATCTTTTGCATAATTTATCTTGCTGCCACATCGGTTTGCATTGTTATAATAAAAGTATTTAAAAACATCTATTATGAATCTACTTCATTAATGCTAATAATAGTGAAGAATAATAAACATAGCTAGAGAGTCGTGTGAAATTTCACGGTTTTCCTATGTGAATTTTCTGATAAATCTTAATTCTTCAGTTGATTGAATAAGCTCATGGTGAGTTCTATGACAATAAAATATCTGTAGAAATTCCCCTATCACATCATTAAATATTTGAGCTTAACGACTTTAATAAATATTGCAATAACAATCATAAATATGAACCCTAGTCGTTATATTAAGAAGTGGGTACAAATGAAAAGATTTAAAATTGACAACTTTTTCCATATCATTGAAATAGCTGTTAAACACTTCTATCTTCCTTTCCTTCTCTTTCATTCATTTTCTTACTGAAACCATATGAAGCTGATATGTGTTTTCCCCATGCAATCGAAATGGAATAGTCCATTATTTATGAGGTATTGTCAGGAGATGTTAAACACTTCTTCCTTTCTTTCATTTTCTCTCATTTTCTTGCTGAAACCAACTAGTCTTTTTCTCCTCTATTGACACAGACAAAATGGAATAATTCATTATTTATGAAGAATTGGTAGGACGTAACGGTCGTGCGAACTAACTGAAGAACTAATGAAGGGAGGGACAAGCATGAAATGTCTCAAAATATAGGACTTCTTCATTCTGACGGATCATGTCAATGAAGCAGAAAGACCCAACCTTATTGTTATAGATAAGGAGAATAGCAAGTGTCAAATTATTGACTTTGCTGTTTGATATGTTTGAAGTGGACTCCAAAAAACTGAAAACACTAGGATCTTGCTAGAGAGCCGAAGGAGCTATGGAATATAAATATAGAACTAATAGTAATGGTGAGATTGGAACATTACCTAGAAAATTAAGAAAAAAGCACTTAGGGAGAATTGGAATTGAAACCAAGATTGTAGATCTCCAGAAAATTGCCATCATTTCCTGTGCAAAGACTCTTTGAAAAGTTCTTGAGTTGTAAAGAGTCTTGTTGACACCATACTTCAAGAACCAAATTTCCATTGACTGCATCAATGTGTGACACCAACATAATAATTTTACTCCATTTAAAAATAACCAGCTTCCAGACTCTCACCTTGCGGCAATGCTAACATTTTCTTTGGGATAAATGACTGTTATGTTATCTATGAAGTTCAGATTTCTTTGGATCCTGACAGATTTCTTTTTTAAAATTCTTATGAGTGTTTCTTTATTTCTAATCTCTGGCCTCTTGGTCAGTTTGTATTCTGGTTTGGCTCTAGGCATTAGGCGGAGACAGCAAGAGTAATGTGCACTGACAGACCTGAGCATCCATTCTAAATTTACTCTGACAGTTGTAAGCAGGAAGTGAATATAGCATCAGTGAAGACTATCAAGAAACAAAAAAAAAGTTTTGATTTGTTTATGAAGAATAAAGAGTCGACTAAAAAGTGAATTTTGAAAGGGTGACTGTTCTCTATTTTTACTCTCTACACTTTCTCTTTTTATGGTTTTTCTCCCTTTTTTGTATTTTGCTTTTTATTTTTTACTCTCTCTCTCCCCTCCCACTCTTTTCTCCTTTCTTCTCCCCTCCCACTCTTTTCTCCTTTCTTCTCCCCTCCCTCTTTTCTCCTTTCTTCTCCCCTCCCACTCTTTTCTCCTTTCTTCTCCCCTCCCACTCTTTTCTCCTTTCTTCTCCCCTCCCACTCTTTTCTCCTTTCTTCTCCCCTCCCACTCTTTTCTCCTTTCTTCTCCCCTCCCACTCTTTTCTCCTTTCTTCTCCCCTCCCACTCTTTTCTCCTTTCTTCTCCCCCCCCTCTTTTCTCCCTTTCTTCTCCCTCCCACTCTTTTCTCCTTTCTTCTCCCCTCCCACTTTTCTCCTTTCTTCTCCCTCCCACTCTTTTCTCCTTCAGTCCTCCCCTCCCTCTCTCTCGTCCCCCCTCTCTTTCCTCCCTCTCCCTTCAGTCCTCTCATTTCTCCTTTTTTCCCCTCACTTCTCTCCCTCCCTCAAACTCTATTCTCCTCTTCTACCTGCCCCTCTCTCGTACCCCCTCCTCCCCTTCCTACCCTCCCTCTTCCATCCCTCTCTTTTTACTCTCTACCCCTCTCCTCAAACCTCTCATTTTCCTTCTCTTCTACCTCCCACTCTCTAGTATCCCTCTCTTTCTCCATCCCACCCTCCATCTGCTATCCCTCTCTCTTTTCCTCTCTCTCCTTTCGCTGTCTTCTCTTGTGCTCTCTCTTTCTTGGTGATTTTAACTTCTACCATTTAAAAAAAAAAAAGATTTGCCTTTTTCTTACTTTTTGTTTTTAAAGCCTTTAAAGTAATAATTCTTAAATAAAATTTAAAATGTTATTTTTAGAATTTAATGTTTTTAATTATTTTCTTTCCTTTCTCTCGCTTTTTTTAAGCTTAAAATTTTATTGACTAGGATCAAAATACTACTTGAGAATAAAAAATAAAATCATTTGAAATTAGTGATTTTTCATTTACTCATCCCAAATACAATCAGCTAAGTAATCAGACAATTGATTAATTAGTTCTATGGATTAGCAGCAATTGTTTTTCTGAATCTGTACTGTCTGTGGAATGTCACAATAGTAGATTATTGTACAAGTTTTGTTATCATTTGATATTTTGTCCCATCAAGAGTTGTCAGACAGGAAAGCACAAAATTACTAAAAAGGCAAAGAGAGGAAACTGTGTTGACTAGAGTTCATATTGGATATACAACTTCTGTACACCTGCAAAGAACTGAAAATGTATTTTGATGCATCCATTGCAATCACAGGGTAAGCACATTCCAGTTGAATGTAAAAGCTATCAGCCTAGATAAATTACAATGTTACAAATATAAAAACATTGTTTAAAGATGTTACCCCTGTCCAGATAATAGGATTTCTTAAAGAAATAGAATTTTTTTTAATTCCTTTAAAAATTATTTATGTATAGGTTTTTAAGGGTGGGTTTAAACTGTTCAAAATGAACTGTAGCTGCCAAACTGAGCCACTCCAACTATGGGGAAAAGTATATATGTGTATATGTAATATATGTATTCACTTGGTTGGCATAAAATGACTCATCAGGGTTGGTACTCTGTTAAACAAAGTCTAACCAACCAAGTCATCACAAATCCCATAACCCAACAGGGTCACTGGAGCACTAGGTATGTTACAACTACAATAGCCCTGGTGTGTTTAGGGCAAGATGCTTAAGACCAAAATAATAAGGGTACTTAGTGTGGATGAAACTTAGCATCCTTAATTTATTAAGTAGTAAATTCTTAATTTTAACCTTGAAAAAGATATGAAACCATTTCTCCCCACCCAATTATTGGCTAGAGAGTAGAGAAAACTGACCATTTTTAGCTTTAATTGGCAGCCAGTCTAAAGATGGTGTTTTGATAAAAGACCCTTACTTATGGGGATGTGCTAGCCACAAAAAAATGTACACCATGGCTCAAATTTGAGCTGAGAGATCTGCTGCTCTAATATTTTTAATGAGTAATTGTGTAAATGTCACTCTAATAGTTTTTGTTAATGAGCTGAACGTTTATTGGGCCACAGCTTCACTCCAGATCTGATGCCAGAAAAATAGTTTGATCATTCTATTGCTCTATGAAATATCTGACTTTTTCTGTCTCTTTTCTCCCTCTCTCCTCTTTTTTCCTTCTTTCCTCTTTTTCTCCTCTCTCTTCTCCCTCTCTCTCCTCTCCCTCTCTTTTCTCCCTCTCTCTCCTCTTTTCTCCCTCTCTTTTCTCCCTCTCCTTGCTCTCTTTTTTCCTTCTCTGTATTTTCTCTCTTTTTTCATTTCTCTTCAGCTCTTTTACAGGAGTCAGATTAGATCAAAAAGTATTATTGCTGTCATATCTTGGATGAAGCTGCTATATTGTCACTTTCCAGCTTTGATAGTTCAAAATTGTTTACACGATCTTGTGGCGGCAAAGAACCTTTTTTCCTGCCTCTTTCTCACATATGCAACATGCAAGCCTATCACTACTCTATCCCTATTTCCATGGCAAATGTCCAAATGAGCTCCAGTCTTTAATTTCACCACTTCACACCTTTACAGCTAGGACATATCAGGCTACTTCCACCTCATTTCTTCTGTTGTCCCCAAGAGAAGAAAAAGTTCTCCCTCCCAGACGGCTTTTTCCTAAGAACTGATACTATGTAAAACAGACTATTGCATGAATGCTTAACTGAAAACTACAATCTTAACCCTTTTCAAGTCAGGGGTCAATCATTGTCTATCCTTCTTATCATTAAAATCTTCTCTTTCTATTATATCATTTATATATCATATAGTTTATTCATCATTACCATTTTAATTGAAACACTTTAACTTGTGTGACTCCTTTGTATCAAAGAGAATTCGAGTATAAAAAGAGTAATACTTTGTCATTGAAACATTTTTATTGAATAACTCTTTGACTGTCATTCATTTTTATTGAATAACTCTGCAACTGTCATTCTTCTATTTTCCATTAAATGAAATGATATTTCTTCCAGTTTTTATGGCTTCCATATTTTTCAGTTCACATGACATTTTCTTCATTTTGGAAAAGGTCACAGAAAATAACTCTGCATTTTACATGCAAGATCAGTATTTTGGCCAATTCAAGTTTTACATATTAAAGGTCATTATGATAGAGCTTGAAAATTAAGAAAAAAAAGTAATTGTTACTATTTTTGTTCCCCTCCCTGCACATAATTTATCTTTTTCAAACTTGGGCATGTCTTGTTTGACAAGCTTGTCTTGACCTTATATATAACCGCCATGAAGATTAGTTACTATTCAACTGAATCAGCCAATGATCTGGTTTTGCTATTCATTGTATTCTCTGAGAGAATGATAATTCAGGCTTGTTTGTTTATTGCTAATATTAAGTGAATGACTGGTGATCTCTATTGTAAAGTCTAGTATTGTAGTCTACAATCAAGTAAGTGTTATTGATCTGATATACTGAGACTGCTGTTTTTTTCCAGTGGGTTGACTATAGCCTCCACTCTGATATTCAGATTTTTCTCCTATGCCATGTACCTTCAGGATGTGGGCGATCATGGCTATCCACAATTTCCTGTCCTTTGTAGATCTTAATAAATATTGTCTTTTTGCCAACTCTCCTAAACCTTATTCTGTGGTCCTTTTATTCAAGCACACTAGGTAGGTTATGTGTTGTTTTCTTCTGTCTCTCTTATCTTCAAACTGTCATGTGAGTATCAGATTTTCCAAGCCCTCTTTCCTTATTCTGTCCCCTAGAAATTTCAACTGCCACTTCCTGATGTTAAGTATAAGTGTCCATTTTTGTTTCTATCTTCTTGAAAACTTCATTGTTGACATGTTCATCCCATGCTATTCTCAATAGCCTTCTGTAGAACCATATTTCTGTTGATTCAAGTCTCTTCTTCATCTGTGAGGAGATTGCCCAACATTCACTGCCATAGAGAGGACTGATATTGTATAACTGTTTAGTATTCTTCTCTTTCTTTCTAACAAATATTCAACTTAGTATATCATTATAGATATTTTATCTGTTAAGCACCAAATATTTTAAATAACACCCCCTTTTTGAAATGTGCACCTTGTCATCATTCTGTTCTCTCTACAATACTATCACTAATACCTACTTTCTAAAAGGAAAAAGGTATTTAGTCAGAAATATTCATTTTTTTTTTTGTTCTTGACCTACTTATATTGAAGAAAGACATTGGTTTTATATCCTGGAAGCTGTTAATGTTTGTGATACTGTTGTAATGTCTAATATTGTATTAAAAAATTAACATTCAATTTAGCACATCCTTATAATCTCATTACAAATAAAATTTAAATTTCTCATAGATAACAAAAATATGGTGTGTTGTGGGATTGGAAAAACATAAAACTTATCTACAGTTTTCTTCTAACCAGATATCGTTATGACTTAAATAATATCAGAAAAGTGTACCACTAATTCATTCTTCTTTTTGTATATTTTAGTTAGATTACCACCTTATTCATGATTTTGTCATTGACATTTGGTTATTTCATTTATATGAGTAATCTAGGATTTTTATAATATTATCTCAATTGTTTTATGTAGTAACAAATTCTATATTTTCAAAATTAAAAATAAAAAAATTATCCAAAGAAAGCACACAAGACAAGAGAAATAAAATGAAAAAAAAAAACCCAATATATCAGCAGCCTGATCAGCCCTACCAGTAAAATACTCCATTATGACAATTTGAGAGATGTACACTTATTGGCATGGGGTGATATTTTCTAATAATGGCCAACTGCTTGTTTCTAAGCATACATGCCTGGTGGGGTGGTTAGCTTTTTCCTTTTTCAGATGCTTGCTCAGGCACATTTGTATTTCAATAGCCACAGAACCTACCTGTAGTTTATACTGTAAATATGTTGAGCTATCCTTAGTTACAGTTTCTTGGAGTGAGAGCCTAATCTGGTGGGATCAGTAGTTGAACAAGTCCAATACAATCAAACCTCTGGTCAGGATAGCTTATGACCTCATGCTGGTGCAACCATCAACAGCACAAAGCTTGGGGTGGTGGTATAGTTTCCAAGTGCATCCCAAAAGTGCTCTATACTAGGAACATTTTCCCAGGCAGATGTAATCCAGAAATCACCTGCTTGATAAAACCATGAGAAGATTCAAACTGGAGTTTCATGTTTGTAACGTGAATGTTCTAATCATTCAGCTACATGCGCCTTTTGTTAATTGAATAGATCCTAGCTCATAAGGGTAGATAAGGTTGCCTCAGTAATAAATATATAGTCATAATTTGTTTTATATTATAGAATTGTTTTTTAAATCTTTTCTGTTAATGTCAAGAATCTGAATTGGCAATAACTAAGTCTGTATGAGCTTTAGATATGCATGAACATGCAGAGGTAATTTGTTATAAATCTTTCATTCCCAAATTTTGTCCAAATCTGATCTTCAGCTTTGGATAGGAATAAACAGTTTTGGGCTATTAATATATTTGATTATTTTTACCAATGAATACAAAACTGAAGTCAACTTCCTTTTTTTTGTTCCTTTTCTTCTTTTGAACGTTTTTTTCTTTTTTTTCCTTTTTCTCTTTTTCTCTTTTTTTTTCCTTTTTCTCTTTTTCTCTTTTTTTTTCCTTTTTCTCTTTTTCTCTTTTTTTTTTTTTTTCTTTTTTTTCCTTTTTCTTTTTTTTCCCTTTTTCTTTTTTTTTTTTTTTTCCTTTTTTTTTTCTTTTTTTCCTTTTTCTCTTTTCTCTTTTTTTCCTTTTTCTCTTTTCTCTTTTTTTTCCTTTTCTTTTTTTTTTTTCCTTTTTCTCTTTTTCTTTTTTTTCCTTTTTTCTTTTTCTCTTTTTTTCCTTTTCTCTTTTTTTTTTTCTTTTTTTCTTTTTTTTTTTTTTTTTCCTTTTTCTTTTTTTTTTCCTTTTTCTCTCCTTTTTTTTTTTTCCTTTTTCTTTTCTCTTTTTTTCCTTTTTTCTTTTTTTTTCCTTTTCTCTTTTCTTTTTTTTTTTTTTCTTTTTTTTTTTCTCTTTTTTTTTCCTTTTTTCTTTTTTTCCTTTTCATCTTTTTCTTCCTTTTTTTTTTTTCCTTTTCTTTTTTCTCTTTTCGTTTTCTTTCCTTTTTCCCTTTTTTCTTTTTTCCCTTTTCTCTTTTTTCCCTCTTTCTTTCTAGAAGCTTTAAAGAGTTATGGTTAATCAATATTTGATTAATAATCAAGCAATATGCTTGATGAACAATTTTATTTTTGTAAATACGTTTTTGTTGTTATTTTTATTTTTTTTTTAAATTTTTGTGATCTACTTTTGGAGGTGATTTCAGAAGTGCATAGTCTGACATGTTAGATTTGTGTGATTAATGGAGAAGCACTGTATTAAATGCATTGACATGGAAGGTTATTTTCTTTAAAAGTAATTATTGTGTAAAATAAATACTTTTTTTCTTTTACTATTAGGATGTGGAATTATCATTGTACCTATGTACTATGTAAGGTGCACTTTTTTTCTTTAATCTGTCAGCTAGGCTTAAAATAAATGACTGCATCCACTTCAAAAAGGTTAAGACTCCCAAAATGAACAAGAGTAAATACTTGCAAAGTCTGGTATAATATCATTCTTTTTCTTCTTTTTTTTTTTTTTTATTCTAGTACAAACCACACCTATGATGACTTGGGTATTCATTTGGATTTTTTTCCTATATTACATAGTCGACATTAAATATTTCAGCAAGTTTTGATAGGTTAGTTAATTTAATGACATAACATGTTGTTTGAAAACATCCATCAAAGCACCTAGCTGTACCCAGTGCCCTGGTGGTTGATGCTAACAGTACGAGACCAACAACTAAACACCTTCACTTCACACACTACTTTCCTAATGACAGCAGACTATAATTAATTATATGACTATAAATAATTACAATTACAAATCAAAATTTCTGTCTGAATTTCTGGGATGGGGAGTTATCATTATTTATACTGTTTACAGTCAGATCTTTATTGTTATCACAATGTTTCAGCTTATGTGGCTGCAAGCCTTCATCAGGTGTATATCAATCTGAGTATCCTACAGGGAATTCCAAATGAACCCTTTATTTAATGTACAAGTGTAGACTGTTCTCATTTTGCTGCCCAATACCTAGAGATATCTTGTATAGTTCTTATTTTTAGTGTTGTCAGTTATTGCTTGTTGTGTTTCCATTATGTCCAAGTACATACTGCCTGGCCCAGCGATTGAGCTCACAATTACTATGTCACTGTATTCATGGTACAATAGCATAGTGGATTAAAGCAATGGTTTGTGAATTTGGTGACATAGTGTGTACTTAGTGCAAACATTTGTAAGCTGAAGTCCAGCATCTAGTACAGTGACAGCAGCTTGGTAAGTCTCACTGCAGATTACTTCCATTAGTGAACATTTGACCTAAATTTTATTGCATTAACTCTGTTTCATATATGAGTTCAACTTTAACTCAAGGCTCTTCAGTTTGATCAAATATCTAAAAAGGAGAATTGAGAAATGGTAATGGCTCTTCCTTATGAGAGAGAGAGATGTATTAGGTTAGTTTTTCTTCCTCTTCTTTGATTATTATGCATTTGGCTGGTCATGTGATCCTTAATGGTCAGTCAGTGAAGCCCATACTGTGCAGAGAATAGTTTCAGGGTAGATGAAGAGAAGATGCTTTCCTGATGTGTGGATAAAACACAGCTCCTTGTAACATGATATGCTGGGCTTGTATGTAAACACAGCCTTTTAAAATCTACATTTAGGGTTTGAGAAAAGAAATCTAACATATCTCTATGCTTTGTTACCATGTTTTCTTTCTAGAAAATAAAAACTTTCTTTACATTCTCGTGAATTCTCTCTAGCTATCTTTATTTCTTTATTTTAAATGTTTGGGTAAATATCTAAAGCCACCTCCATACATTTGGTAAATCCAACATTTGGGAGGGGATCGTGATGGAAAATGAGAGATAAGACAACCCTGCAATGAACAAGGGAATAGTAGTGAGTAGTAGTTTAGATAAAAACATAAATGATTAACAGAAAGAGAGGGAAGTAGAGAAAAATCACCAACAAATTAAGAGGTAAAAAAAAAAATATATGGAAGGTGAAATTTAGCAGGGGCATGAGGAAGAGGAAGGCAAATGCACAGAAAGGAGGGTGAATGAGAGAAATACTGTAATTCCCCATGTATAATATGCATCTTTTTCTAAAAAAATAATAAACAAAATTAGGGGTGCATATTACGCACAGCTACAAAAAAATCTTTAAAAAATTTCCATTTCATCAGTTGATTTTAGTTGTGAAATGACTACTCACCACAAATATACGACAATTTGACACTAACATTTGGTGATTGCGACCCCATAAGGATGTCAAATACAATCATATGTACCTAACAATACTTACAAATGTAAAATAAAATAAGAATTATCATGAAACTAAATTAGAATAATATTATTCTATGTTTAAAACCATTTTTTTTATTAAGAGTAGGAATTGCTGATCGTAATGAAATTGGAGAGGTACAATTTATAGGGTTTGATTACCAAACAAGAGGTGCATATTATGCATGAGTAGAAGCATTTTCCAACACTTTCAACACAATTTTAGTGGTACCTATTATGGATGAAGGTGTATTATACATGAGGAATTCTGGTAATTTAAAGGAGAGAGAAATTTATCAGAGTAGAGCAAATTATGTAGATGAAGTGAAAATATTGTCTTTGAGGGCAACTAAAATTAAGAAAAAGAGATGAAAAAAGTGTGAAAGAAAGAGACAAGAGATTAAGACCAATAAAATATCTTCTATTCATGGTAATCTTTTGTGAGTACTGAGTCGTGATTTTCCTTTGGTAGTTCAGGGTATTGAACAGTCTTCATGCTCAATGTCTGTTCAACACAGGGAACTGTTAGTGAAAAGGGTAGTCAGCTCACTTGAGTATTGCAAGAGGTGGCGGCTCTGCTAGATGACTGCAGTAGTTTTTGACTTTTCTGTGTTCTTTTTAAACAGAGTTTCTACCATATTTTAATTCTGGTGTTTTGGTGAATGACAACTAAAGTCTCCATTTTGAAATTCTCACTGAAAGAGAAACAGGAAATTTCAACATTGAAACTCTCACATTTAAAAAAAAATTTTTTGGTGGGTTCATGCAGTGTTTTGTATCTTCCCAATGTAATTTTCTTTTCATTTCCTTCTTAATTTTTAAACTTTTTCATCTTATTTTTCAAGGAGAGGTGTGTGTGGATTAATGGTTAATAGCATGGAGAGAATGGCGAAATTGAATTAGCCATCAACTGATAAAAGTTGTGTTCACTTCACACTAAAGCACTTGGTTAGGATATGAATCTGTCTCTTCTCACTCCAGCTATGGATCAATTAGCCAGACATAAGAGGCTCTCTAACCTTCATTGGCAACCAGTCTAGGAAAGAGATGGAATTAAAAACTGTTAGGGGAGACAACTCTTTTCTAACAAATCATTGACTCTTCATGGAAAAAAGGGTAGTATATGACAACAACATGGCTGCTGGACAACACATCACCTATAGACAGTGAATTGTTTATCTTCTTCATTGCCAAAAATTGTTGTAACCCAAAATATTAGGAACAACAAAATATAACAAAACACAGTTAAATATATTTTAAAACACAACAATATTCGTTTTTATTCTCACTGTCCAGGATACAACAGGATTGGGTTGGATAGACAATTCACTGTCTACAGGTGGTGTATTGTCCAGCAGCCATGTTGTTGTCTGATACTACCTTTTTTTCTGTGAAGAGTCAATGATTCATTAGGGGAGAGTTGTCTCCCCTAACAAAAACCATGGAGAAAGCAATAAAAAAAACATTCCTTTATCCTTCCCCAGAACAACTAAGTATAGTCTAATGATATTAAAAGGAAAGAAAACCATGACTGCCTATGACTTTTAGGTACATTATACTCAAAGAAACATATATCTTTTTAATGATAGTGTTCTTAGTTGAATGCTTTCTAATAGTTAAATTAATTCATATGAAGTTTGAATAAAAGAAGTGGCCTTGAACTCTCATCCCATATCTCAGGAGCTCATCTTATCTGTCACTGACTTAAAGAAAAAATTCAGTCATAGAAAGCTAATGACTAAACAGGACTTAAATTGATAGTAATATTGCTACTTGTTTCTTCATTCCTTAACACAATATGCTTTGTTTATAACTGTAGTATTTCAAAACTTTGTTTATGGTCAAGAGCAGATAAATATGTACTTGTCAAAGTAATGGTCAAACCATTAACCCAGTGCCAAGCATTTTTAATGTCTTTTTTTCTAATCAATTTCACCCCATGCAAGGCAATAGAGCCACTAAAGCACAAGGGGTTACTGGGTTTGGAAGAATTAGAATCAGAAACTTTACTTAGGAGCAAAAAAGAAAAGAGTAATCAGAAGGACAGTAGATAGTAATTGACATTGCATTTAAATTTTTGAAGATTAAAGTTGGCTGGAAAGCATGAAGCTGGAAGAGAGTTCCACAAGTGAGAAGTGCAAGAAAATAAACTGTTAGCATAGCATTTACAGTTATATCTAACCAGCTCACCTGTAAATTGATGAGATCTTGATCCCAGTCTACTACTGCACTTAAATTCAAAAAGTCTAGGTACCATAGCAAAGAGCTCATCTGAACAATTACGATGAAAGTATTTATAGAAAAGGCACAGAGGCAACTTTATGGCAGTGGGCAACTGACTGAAGTCGAGCTGCCAGATCAGGACCAATAATATTACTGATTCTTCTTTGGATTTTATCAAAGAGCTCTAGATATATGGTAGGAGCACTAGACCATATGTGGAAGCAAGATTCTAAGCAAGGAAGAATGGTGTTAAGAGATATATTGTTTTATGCTTACAATTCATCAATATTTAACTGTTTTTATTTAATAGATTCTTCTGTTTAGGAAAAATAGGCTTGACATAACCTACAGTCTTTGTTTTTATATATGTGTGTCCTTATATATATATATATATATATATATAAATAAATAATTCTATGTATTTAGGCACAAATGTTCTTTAAGGCAGATATTATTAAAAATAACATTTTGTGTTGATTAATTTTAATCAGCTTTGCCAAATTAAGAATAATCCTTCTAAGACAAGGAAGAAAGTTCATCAGAAATTGCCCAAAGATCATTTTGGAAGAAAAGTACAAGAAATAT